GTTGATTCAACGATTGCCATTTGGTCATATCAACGCAACATATTGTTGCGTCAGCACAATTTGTGTTAACATAATTTATTCAGTAGACATAATATTTTTTCGATGAGAAAGACCGCCGATTTTGTAAATTTTTTTTCAACCGCTTTTTCCTCAATGTATGAATATATGTCGCGCTAATACTTCGTAGTCGTGATCTTCTTCTTCGAGGAAACTCGTTACGGCCTTTGTACGTGTGCACGCAACAACCTCGTCGTTTTACACCCTTCGAGGATCAAGATGACGTATTCCGTCAGAGGGTCCGAAATAGGTCGAATATTAAGTACTTAATACCTGTCTGTTCGTGTTGTCGTTGCCGACGTGACATCCCATCTAAATTGACTGATACGCCGGGCAATCGCTACACACGCACGATTCATTGACGATTTACACAATGCACGTACTTCGATATCCGCTCTCCGTGTCGTACGAATCGCGTCGTGTACGACAAACTCGTCGAACTGTATCACGTCTAAATGTCCGATATCCTTGAGTTTAAGTTATTAAGGACATCAACGGGTTTCGTAGCGCGGAAGTGAAATCAAATCTGCGCATTTCCATCTCACGCACGCATCATCACGCTTGTTTGTGCGCGAACTTTAATTGCCATTGGCTGATCAGGGCGTTAACGATCATCTCGCGCACTCATACGCTAAATACCCGATCGCGTCAATAAATTAACTGCCGTGTCGCTACGATTGGATTTCTGTTGCATATTTCACCCGGTCTATCGCGATACACACGTGATTTCAATTTCGCGCGAAAGGAAAGAGAATTATTCATCCCGTTTATTAATGCACCGTGCATCTGTTATATTTTCATTACCATTTGCCTAAGATACGACACGACGTCGTAAATCTGCTTTTTTCCTCCCTTCCCTTCCTTCCAATCTTTTCCGCGGACTCTGAGACTTTGCCGCTTCGTCGAAAAGAACCAATACGATCGTCGATATCGTATATATTTCGTGAGATTTCTATTTTCTTCGTCTTCGTACTCGACGGAGAGTGGCCTTGTATGAGATTTAAAGACATTTAATCAGCAAATACCTACCTAGCAAATGTAAGGCTGAAGCAGCTTCCTAAGAATCAGATTTGTATTTTGCTATGTGCCGGCAATCTGATCATCGGAATTCTCTTTCCTTTTTCATTCTTCCGTCCCGACTTTTCGCCTCGCCCTCGTTGAACCTCCGGCCGATATCCAATCGAATCTCTCCGGCGTTCGTTGGTGTCTACTCCGTAATGAGATTCTTGGCTAGCGAATCGTAGGCACTAGGTAGGTAGACGGGTATACACGATATTTCTCTTGCGGGAGAGAGAGAGAGAGAGAGATAGAGGGGGGGGGGGAGAGGAGGAGCAAGAGGAAGAAAGACCGTCAGCATGAAAATTTTATCCGCACACATACCGACGCGTATACACCGCAATACCTGTGCATCTCGAGGATTCTCTTGAGCACTTCTCGGCACTTACTTCGCTTTCGCAAAGCACACGCGTTGCACGGAACTATATATTTATAAATCTTACACGGTGCTATTTTGGAATTATAACGTCTTAAAAATCGATATAAAATGATCCCCCCTCCCTCGTTTCCTCTTAAAATATTTTCATGTGCGTGTATCACAAAATCTCCGGTTTATCCTCAAATAAAAGGCACATTCGCTGTAATATCTGCGACGAGGTTTTCGGGTCACGTAGTGAAGTATACATACTTCGTGTGGATGAAGTATGTAAATAGGATTTTTCTTCCGACTTGTTTACACGGGCAAAATTCACCGCCGATATCCGCGAGCGTGTCGGAACCGGTGGTGCCGATGGCGAAAGTCAGGAGCGGCGATGTTTTAAGGAATGGAAGAAGAATGCGAGACGTCCTGTTATGTATAGCGAGGGGAAAATACGCAGAATAGGTGTCTGCCCGTGCGTACCACACATGTGGTGCCCCGTCTGTTGTCCTCACACTTCTGGATTATTTACGAAGGGGATAAGACTTGACTGCCTGTAACATTCTACAGACGCAGACTCGGACCGCGAAGGAACCTCCATTATTCAAGCGGGCGGCCTACCCCGCCAAAATGTCGGAGTTTTTCGTTCGTCGGATTACTTAATTCACGCGTTCCGGAGAACATTTGTCAGCGGGATATGACACCGGAATCCCTTTTTGGCGTTGGCTCACACTCGAGAACGAGGCATGATCGTTTAACGGAGTCATTTTTCATCGTCGCCTTCGATACCGCTGTCTGTGATAAAGAATCACAGATCGAAATTAGAAAGCGCCTCTCAGATCGCGCTGTGTGCGCTTTGAGCGACTGACTCTATTAATATTAGAAATGTGCCTTACCATTGTCTGTCTTACTGTTATGCAGCAGTTTAACCTTCCGTGTGATTCGCTGTTCTTTTCTCGCTAATGTCATATGATTCGTGGGTCATTTTTGAATAAAACCACTTCTTTCTCTCTATCTCTCTCTCTCTCTCTCTCTCTATGTATAAGTAAAAAACCAAAAAAAAATGTTTCGACATTATTTGAAGTCTCTATTTTCTATCATAAGCGTTGTTCAATGTTTATAATTTTTTTTCTTTTGGGTAAGTACAGAAAGAAACATGCAATTTTTTTTCTATTTGAAGGAGAAAAAATTCATAACGTTTAAACGAAAATAAAATCCCTATAGATTCATATTCTTGAAAGATGGTCCTTCATTAGAAAAAAAAAATGTTTGGTATCGAAACAAAGCGATATTTGAAAAAAAATAATTAATGAATTCAGCTTTTACATGAAAAATTCTTTATTTTAAATGGAATAAACATAAAATAATATCATGAAATTAAAAGTATAAATAAACACAATAAATCAAAGTAAAATAACAAAATAACAATTTTTAGAAATAAAAATTCCATTTCTCACATTAATAAATACATTACATTCATAAATACGTTCATACATACGTTATGTTATGATAAAAAGTACTTATACTTACAAAAGAAGGAAATCTGTAATATTACTTTTTGCTAATACCGTGTGATTCGTAAGTCATTTCGAGAACACTCGTGACTTGACGTGCTCGTAATTTTTCAGTAAATTGAAAATTTCCGTGCATACAAGTATAGATTCTCCTTATTATTTATTTCCTTAAATGGAAATTCGAGGTTTCCCTTAATTTAATAAAACTTTACAGTCAATTCAAATTTTTACTGTCCCCTATAAATGATCCACGAATTACACGAAGAGTTAATAACCATCGTTCGTGATTAATCGGAGAACGTTATTTTTGCAGAATAGTCGCTTTCGGGCAATATTATAACGCGTTATAATAGTTAAATATTTTATTCCACTTCGATGAGCACGATATTGTTGCACTTTGTTAGCGATATCACTAATATATATCCTGCACAATGTTGCGCACCTCTTGTTACGCTCGTACGGCTAGTCGTTCGGGGACTGTATGCCGCTTTTTCAATTTTCCACGGGGTGAGTACAATCGACAGCGGCGCAACGTGATTATTGTGTGAAAGCGATGTGCTATTAACGACACGAATAAAATTGGTATTTTCACATTGCGTTAAGTTTCCCGGATTTAACAAGTAGACCGTTCAACTTTGTCCGTCCATTTTATTTAATGTTTTATTTAACGGCGTTTTTAGAGCGCGCGACAATTAAATTCATCTTTCTCGGCTGTACTTCAGCTCTTATCCGCTACAATTTTTATTATCTTCGTTAAAAAAACAAGTGGAATATCGCGTAGATGTGGTGCTTCCATCTTTCCTCGTCTCGAGTAATCGCTTCCTTGCCATCACCACCTGAGATTCAGTAGAAACGTGCCGCTCCGGTCGGACGTAGGTAGACGTTACCCACATACGATCAGACAGTTATCCAATTCGCCACTTTTCGCTAAGGTAAAGAGAAACAATATTTGTTTTTCTCATATTTTCATTTTTTCTGCAAAAGACAACGTGCTTCACAGCATACTTACTTTGTGATCTTGTAAAAACCCTCTAATATTCTTCTCTGATCATTTTCTTGTTTTCGCTTTACAGTAATCATTATTGCTTATTGCGATTTTTAAAACACACTACGTCCATGTGTTCAATTCCACAACGATACATTTTAACAGTCTGAACGAGCGGTGAAATTCCAGACTATGAGAAAAATTCATCAAGTTGCGGAATTCAATCTGACCTTATTACGCACGCGAAACAAAGCTCTAATTTCTAAGCTAATTTTAACGTCTCGTTATTACAACGTGCGTTCTGAGGATGAAGCACACGACTATCGGAGTTATAAAAGTATCCACGTTTTTCAAAGAACATATATGAAAAATGTGGGCGTGTTGAAAAGAGAGAAAAACAGATAAAAGCACAGGTGAATCACAATCGCCTCTCGTTAGCGTTTATTTTCACATCAGGATACCATGATTATTTTATTGCTACTTATTTTCATAGATTGCGCATTATAGCGTGACGTGACGTAAAACGTTTCACACTTCGACCAGTCACGTGCCCACGGCAGGCGTTTAAAATAAAACGGATTACCCCATTCTTAAAATAAATATATTGACTGATTATATATAACCAATAATGGAGCACCTCTCTCGCATCTTCCAGCAAAATATCTAGCCAACCTTGATGGTGTATACGATGGATCTATGGTGCGGATTATAACGTGAGAAACAGCATTTCATCTATCTAAGAAGTCTTCGGATAATGCGTTTTGCGAAGGTTGAGGAGGAGCTTTTTCGCAGTTGCCCTTCGCCGCGCGTCCTCGCTTTTCTCCTCTCTCTCTCTCTCTCTCTCTGTCTCTCGTGCGCTTCTTTCTCACGTCGAAATGCCCCATCCCCCTTGCCATCGCCCCTTGATCCCCTCTCTCCCCTGATCGTCTCGCTTCCCCCTTTGCAATGCACAACCGCGCAGCAACAGCGTAGTGCATATCCACGTTCTGGCGACCGACTTAACCGCCGGAGTTTGCGCAAGCGTACGTTACCGTCTCCAGGCTGGAGAACGAGGGACGCTCGGGGGTGTAAATGGAGAGACACTGGCAAATCAATACGGCAATGCCCGCCGGTAAGCAAGCAGTCGGGGCTCATAGTTCGCGAGGAACGCGTCGAAAGTCCACGCGCACGCTTAGTTCATCAGCAACACTCGCCAGACCAGTCCATTGCACTCTTCGCCGTCATCATCATCGACGTGGTTTCGCCGAGACGTCGGTTCCGCGCGTCGTCCTGTTCCCCCCGGGACGTCTCAGTTTCACGAAGCGAAGTGCGCCAAGAAGGCGGGTGGTATCCTCGCGCCTCTCCGATGCCAGCGGTTCTCCTCGGGTAACTGACCTTGTGCAACAGCGCGTACGTTCGGCTCCCGGACCAAGAAGCCAGTTACTTCGCGTCACGAGGAAATCTCTCTCTCTCCCTCTCGCAAGCCAGACCCCTCCGCAGACCGGGAGACTCCTCGTTGGCCTTCTCCGCTTTCTAAACTAGAGGAACACACGAATCCTCGGCCATACGTTCCGTCGATTCCGCACTCTCGACGTGGAATATCGCATACATATATATACAAGGTCAGACAAGCCGACGGGAGGAGATTAAGCCGCCCCGCGAGAGACCCTTGAGAGCCACCAATCGTTATCACCGTCGCTAACAAGGTGGTCCAATCCTTACCCGGTACCACGATCGAGCTAATAGGCACCCGCAAGGCCGCCAGGCTACTACAACGTCTGGTAGGCGTGAGTGATTGGTCCTTCCGCACGGATTTACCGAAACATCCCCAAAACGGCAACCCGTCGTCGTCGTGGTGTTGCCGGGGCCCCGCCGTTAGCCGCGAGAGATCGCGAGAAGGGAGTTTGGGGGTATCGGCGGGAGGATCGGCCTACTTGTACGGAACCGGTTCTCGCTCCTGGTACGCCGCTTGCTGGCGGCCCGGTGAGATGGAAGAGAAGTCCTCTGCCCGATTTTCCGAATACCTGTTCGCCAAGATGGGCGGGCAGGACGTCTCGGCCTCTCAGGGTCCCCGCAAGGTGACCGCCGACACCAGAAAGTGGATGCGGGAGAATCTCCTGCTCATGGTTACTCTATCCGGCGTGCTCTTCGGTGTAATCCTCGGTGAGTACGATGGGAGGGATGCTTCCGGCTCGCTCCGTCTTTCTCGCGTGGTGCTAAAGTCGCAACTTTGGACCAACTTATCGGATACAAAGGAACGGGAGTAAATATTCAATTCGGAGTCTCCTCAAATGCACGAGGGAGAGAGATTATTTCGCAACATTATTTCATTGCAAGAAAAGAACGTTGGAATGATCGATGATACGGGCTGCTATCTGTGAATCACCTCGTACAATCAGTTATTGCTACGTGCGTTACGCGACGTCGAAAGATACGATAAGGTAAATGGATATTGGGTTGCAAATACTTAATGAGATTGAGAGAGAGGGAGGGAGAGGGAGATTCCTGTGATACCAAATTTATAGTACGAAGAGATATGCTTTTTGAGCTTATCATTTCGATCTATCGTCGGCTTTATGAGTCAACTACAAGTGATGAGCGTCATCTGCAGATAATTCCTGTGGCGACCGAGATATCGCACACGCAATCTTCTCTACATAGTTTCACCCTTGCATTCGATTTTTTTTATCTGATTTTACTTCATGCTCACGAATTGTCTGCTCTTGTCATTTCAACCATTGATTATTTTTTTGTCATCCATGTATGTTCATAAAAATTCTATGGAAGAATTCATTTTAATATCTCTACTATAACTATATTAACTGTATTAACTGTATTTGTTTTGTACTTATCGATCGAAATTATATTATGTTATTACAACAGACAACGCCACGTAGATCGCCACGTTTCGCGATTTTAAAACGTTTTACAAACTGTTTGATCTCAACTACAGCATGTAATGCCTTTTCCCTTATAATCTAGAAACATGTTAAGGGCAAATAAAATTGATAATCCTTATTATTTTGTACACGTATTTACGATATCATAGTTTTACAAAATTACAAGTATTATTTTTTAAATTTTCTATCATGATATATCAGAAAGATACAATTAAAATGCAAATGAATGTTAAACTTATTAATTACTAATGTTATCGATCAGAAATAGATACTGCATTTTCACAGTCAGACAAAGAGATGTCTAGAGACAATGATGACACATAAGTCGATATAACTGTCGGGAATACTTATGCGCGAATAGTTAACGCCAGGGGCTTCTCAGATGTCACTTTCAGCCATTATGACGTCATTTCGTGATTATGAAATCAGGCAGCCGATATTTCTGCGAGACACACCAACTCACATTACTTTGAAATATCATCGAGGTCATACTTTTAAAAGATATACAGAAATAAAATCCGCGCTGAAAAATAATCTTACCCTTTTATACATAACTTGAAATTCCTGCAGAGAAATTAATCTCTCTCTCTCTCTTTCTCTCTTTGCCTCTCTCACATTCGAAGCGGTTTGTAGCACATCAAACGCCCATGAAAATCCTACATGAGAGATACAACTCAAAGTATTTTATGTCTCACAATATATAACGCGCCGCAAACTTTTACACAAATCGATTTTATGCGTACACCAGCACACCGAACCAGTTGCGAAATTATCACTGGTTATGTAAATACGTGCACCATTATCTCGTTAAAAGGTGTCAATCATCGGCCAAGGGTTTCCTTGGGAAGGAATCGATCGCGTGCGTTTAGCGACGCGAAAATCGCTTCGATGAAACACATTTAACGGAATTCGTATATATATTTCACGCTACGCGGCTGAAACGTAACATGTAAGAATAATTTCCACGACCGGCAATGACACTAATTGAATTCAGCGCACGATATCACGTGTCAACGCGAATCTCCGCCTCCGTCAGCTTGATTCGGTGGTTGACAAGCGAGCGTGTAACGTCTATAGATACTCCGCTACAAATAGAAGCACTGACGGCGTTGTAATAATTTAAAAGACGCTCGATAGGGTCAGCGTTTGGGTCTAAATCCAACCTTTCATTCATATCCTTCCGTTAAACGAGAGATCCCAGATTACGCGACAGACGTCATCTTCTCGATCATCAATACCAACGGAGCGCTCGTCGTACCGTGCGTGTCTGTATGTGTCAGGCCGCACATTCCAACCGAACTGACCTCGTGCAACAGGAATTGATCAAACCTTCACCTTATCGCGAAACGGCGCTGGCTTTTCTTCGCGTTTAAATGAAAAGTCAGTTTAAATATAGTTCAAGGCCGAGCCTTCCGTAGAATCTGCCGAGCGCGTTACACGCCACCGGGAGAGTCGCAGTGACGTAGAATCGCCAATTGATTTTGCGACGTCTCTCCACAGGGTTCGGCCTGCGTCCCCTGGATCTCGGAGCCGACGCGGTGATGCTGATCAGCTACCCGGGAGAGCTGTTTATGAGGTTATTGAAACTGATGATCTTACCTCTGGTAATCGCCAGCCTTATATCGGGTGAGTTTCTGTTTTCACGACGCGCGACACGTGATGCGTGCGCACGTACGCCGGGGCCGGACTGCGGGTGCCGGACGTGCGCCTCATGCGCTTTTCGCATGCTTTTCCAGGTTCAGCGAGTCTGAATGCCAGGATGAACGGGATGATCGCCGTTCGTACTCTGGTGTACTTCATACTGACGTCCTTGCTCAACGCTGTCCTTGGGGTAGCCTTAGTCCTCGTTATTCATCCCGGTAATCCTGGCATCAGGGAATCGATCGGCACGTCGCATCACGCGAGGGCCGTTAACATACTCGACAGCCTACTCGATCTGGGAAGGTAAATTATGTTCTGTGATATCTTGTCGAACGTTCGCCATCGATTCTGTCAATATTGATAATGTACATAGGCTCGCTCGGGGGGAATTTTCCCATCAAAAACGGGGAGGTGATAGCGAGGCGCGAAGGTCGCGGCATACGATAAGAAAACAACGCTAATGAGGAGTAAATTCCGCTCAATTAACCCGGCAAGTTAGTCGTTCAGAGACACTTTGCCGGCAGGAATCGTCGTCTCAGACAGAATATCGGAAATTTGTCACAGACAATACGATGGGACCCTTCTTCTGCGACTTCCCCGATACCGAAATGTCTAGATTAGCGTGCACAACGAAGATACGACATTGAAATAATATTGATTTAATATATGCCTGCCTACCCACACCAGCATAGTTATCTAAAACGGATTAAGGTCATAAGTTTCGCGAGCCGTGAAACCCGCTAAACGGAATTCACGGTGATCGCGGATACCAGTCGTTGAGACGAAAATAAATGCTTATCGATCGGGGCTTGCGTGTTTTATTCACACGAAGCGCACTCAAAAACTCCGTTTAAGCAGCGCAATGTCTGACGTACACACGGGTCTTCCACCGTCGGATTAAAAAGACAGGGCACGGTGGCTCATTATCGGAAACTATTTAACAAGTGTTCGCTTCAGTAACGCGGTATAAGATCGGCCAAGATCGCTTTTACTTGAAAAATCGCCTGTAGCTTGCGATGCGCGTAACGCGGCTTGATAGGTGCTTAAGGTTTACGGATAAAACGAAGGCCACGGAAAAAATGCGTCGTTCAAAATACACAGTTGTTGCTCGCTGTGATGAAAAAGTGTTTCGCGTGTTTAATATGTTGGATATTTGCAATTCTAAATGAATTACCTTTGCAGAAACATGTTCCCGGACAATCTGTTTCAAGCGGCTTTCCAACAGGTGAGGACGCTGGCTGATCTTTCCGGCCGCGATCGAAATCGGGAGATTCGTTTTCGCCTGTGAAATAATGATTTCCTTCCAGGCACACACAGTATACGTCCCGAAGAAGCAACCGTTCCAAAACGTCACCGACCGGCTGCCGAGTGAAGTTCTGGGAGACGAGGAGCTGATAAGAGTGATACAGTACAGAAGTGGCACAAACACTCTAGGCATAGTTTTCTTCTGCCTGGTCTTCGGCACGTTTCTGGGAACGTTAGGCGAGAAAGGTCAGGTCGTGATAGACTTCTTCAAGGCTGTGTTCGAAGTAATCATGCGAATGGTCTCGACGGTCATGTGGTGAGTAATCGGAGACGATGCCTCGTATGATTCATCCAGGGTTGGGAAGTGACGCGTTACTCGGGTTCCGTTATCGTTATTACAAGCCACTTTTTGCAGTAACTGCTTGGTAACGATGATATATTTGTTTCGTTAATAACGATGACGCAATTGCATTTCTTAGGTATCGGATACAATCAGTTACTTTTATCGTTGCTTTGCGTAGAATACATGAAAATGGAATGAATCAAGAAACGAATCTTAAGAGAAGAAAATTCCCGAAACTTGTAAATTTATCCGAAACCGAACAGATTAACGGAAGTTTCAACGACTCATTACTTACTTCTTGAATAACGGAAATAAGTTACTTTCTTTCAATGAGTAACACATACGAGTAACGACGACGGGCTGCTTTTCAAAAGTGACAACTTTCCCCAATCCTGGATTCATCACGGTCGATAGTCGACAGAGACGGAGAGGGAGGTCTCGCTTCCAGGATGACACCGGTGGGCATCACCTCCGTGATAGCGGGCAAAATACTCGGCGTGGACGACCTGGTACTGGTGATGTCGCAGCTGGCGTGGTTCATCGTCACGATCGCGATCGGTGTCTTTCTCTATCAGCTGGTGATCATGCAACTGATATATATGGCCTTCGTTAGAAAGAACCCCTTTAAATTCTACGCCGGCCTGGCCCAGGGTACCCTCACCGCCTTCGCCATGGCATCAACGTGAGTCGTCGATCTTCGAACCTGAGCCCGACCTTGAGAGAATCCATTTCGCCTGCCTCACAGGGCCTCGGTCAACGTTGTGATCGTACTATCTGACCTCGTAGCTCCGTTTCCTCGTCGGTCGCATTCCCGCGGACACGTTCCGTCTACGCCTCCTCCTTTCCCTCCTCTTCTTCTTCTTATTCACGAGTATACGAAGCCTTTCTCCCTCTATGCTTGTGCGAAATGGAGCTGGTCTGTCTCGCGATTGAATAGTGCCGATGATAGTTGATTCCAAAACATTCGACGTCGTAACACAGACGGGAAATAGAGACAACGAGTGATACGTGACAATGGGAGACATGTACCGAGATCAAATCGATTGATAGAGACAATATGTTTCAGCCAGCTGTGTGGAGGCTTTGCGAGGCCACGGTCCCGTTATCCCTCCCGAACCATCAGAGCCAGCCTTACACGACTTCTGTCGCCATGAAATTGTCAAATGATTTGTACTTGACAAAATTTACATTTCACACAGAGAGAGAGAGAGGAAGATAGAAAGAGAGGGAAACACGTTGTGGAAAGCTGGCCAATTTCCAATTATCCCAGTTACCCTCCTTCGTCACATCTGACAATCTCTTTAATGTTTTCGCGAGGAGAGCTCGCCATGCCCCATGAGAAAGAGAAAAAGAGAAAGAAAGGGAGAGAGGTATGCAGTTCCGGGTAGCACTTAGGATGCTGATACTTCCGGTTCCCGATTGCCGAGTTGAACGCGAACTTCCGAAGAACGTTGCCACGATCCTGGTGGTAACGCGAGCGGAATTTCGTCGTCGCGACAGTAGTCGTGTCGTGAAAGATCGCAAAGCGATATCGAGAATACGATCGCGTGGTCGCGAGAGTGTGGAACTAACCGGATGTTCACCAAACCGGCCATCTGCTGACTCCGTGTTACCTGGACTGATTCGCGGCGTGGAAGCCTGCTAGGTGACTCGTGAACAGGGAATCTCCGAACTTTTCCCTTCGCGACGGCGAAGGAGGAGGGAGGAAATTCCGCGCCAAAGGAGGCTTTCAAGTCGAGCCGTATGATTATTCAAGTAAATTTAAGTACACACTGTTCTGTAAAAAAAAAAAGAGAGAAAAGAGAGGGAACTGAAAAAATATTGGTTGCTCGTGTCGAGCTCTCGCTACTCTTGCAGGTACGACGAGGACGTCGATGACCGGCTGTACTGCTGTGAACAACGTGCGATCATTTCTTTCTTGATATAATTCATTTCTGAGAGTCACGCGAAGCAACGATCATTTTTTCAGTTCGCATTACCAGCCGTCCCCCGTTGCGAGGTCCCTCGTTTTTCTTTCGTCCTCCATAAACACGAAAACATTCATTCAACATCATCAACGTTAGAGACGATAGAAGAATCCTCTGATTTAACGAGAGCAATCGTCCAAACTCAATCCCGCACTTCCCGGTCCCGCATATTTCTCGATCACCTCTCGCTTCCCTTTTGTTGTTTTGTTCACAGTGCTTATATGTATCGTTTATGATTCCCGGCTAGGTCTATATAGTCACATCTAACTCAATCTGTTTTCTCTGTGGATTAACTGTTTCCAGAAGAGAGCGTACACAACTGTGCGTACACTGTGACTGAGAGAAACTGTTCTCAGTGTATCTGAACAGAGACTGTATAATCATGATGATGTATTAGAACACGCACTGCACGCGGCCTTTTGCAGGTGGTTGAAAGACCGAGGGTAGCCCTTGGTAAGTAATTGATGGCCGCATCATGAAGGTACCATACGATTGTTTGTTGTAGGATCTTGCAGGCCATGCGGTTCGGCTGATACCAGGGCGGTGTCGTCTGAGCTAATTCCGCTTACTTTTCAGGTTGTTCTCTTTCTCACGGTCATTCTGGCTGTTGCTGGCACCCCTTTCTACTATTCGCAGATCTTTTCCACAATTAACGTAATCGATATACATATATATATACATACATATATATATATATACACATCCGAATTCGGACAACTATCCTCCCTTCATTCGTACGTCGATTCTCTGCAAATCACTGTATTTCCTGTTTGATTGTACAAAACGTTTCTCTTCATTACTCAAATTGCATCTGAGAGACTGAGTCACTGAGTCACGCCACTGATATACATCTCACCTGTATATAAGTTTATGCCAGAATGACCACTTACTACTGCGGCAACAGGCGACGTGGAATGCAACTTTCTTCTACTACGGCAGCATGCCTTGCCCGATCTTTGCTAACGCAGCTTTGTACAGGGCTGCCGCGCTTCCTGTGACTTTTCGTCTGATGACCGAGAAGCTCAAAGTCGACCCTAGAGTCACCAGATTCGTCCTGCCGATCGGTTGCAATATTAACATGGACGGTACCGCGCTCTTCGTCGCAGTCGCTAGCATATTCATCGCCCAAATGAACGGCATCTTCCTGGGCTTCGGGGAGATCATCACCGTCATGTAAGATGGATCAGCTAGCTTTGCTAGAATAATCCAATCGTTTCTCTCTCCGTTGTACGTGACGTAATTCACCATCTTTTGTCTCGCTCTGTGAAGTCTGACGTCCACCGCTGCTTCCGTATCATCGGCCTCGGTACCTAGCGCTGCACTCGTCCTGCTGTTGGTCGTCCTAAGCGCCATAGATGCTCCCGTTAACGACGTATCCCTCTTGTTCGCCATCGATTGGTTCGTGTAAGTACACACCGTCCGTACACGCAATAATACATACTCCAAAGAGAATTGTCTTGTCGCGTCGAATCCCGTGTGAAAAATAACCGGGTAGAATATTAGAAAGTAGTATTATAGTCATCCCATTCACATTTTGTACAACAACTTTGTACAACAATCTGTATTTTAAAGTGAGAACTGAACGATTACATTCGTCAAAGTGTTACGCTACTGTTTAACTTTGCATAAATCGAAATGTGTACAACTGACTGAAACGTTAAATAACGAGCAAAACACTCAAATGTATATATATATATATATATATTCGTGTTAATACACTCAAGTTTAAGAATAACGAGGAAGTATGTATAATTAAATGCTAAGATGTACCTTAAAAACTCTTCTAACTGCTCAAAAATAAAAAATGCGTTATAATAAGCGCCGGCTTTTGTAATATATTGATATATTAACGCCATTACATAACGACAAGCTACTGAATAAACGATTCGTAATAAGTAATCACCAGAATTCGCCATCTAATAATGGAAATATTAAGAGAAGCCATAATATTTACAAGGACCATCATACCACCTTCTTCTCTGCTTTAAGTCGAATCATTTTTTTTTACGATAAGATAAAACGCTTTACGATACGTTTCATGTAACCAGAGATCGGATAAGAACCACCAACAATATGCTGGGAGACTGTTACGCCGCTGCTGTGGTCGAGCAACTGTCCAGACAAGAATTAATGGCGTTGGACGCAGCAGCCTATCAAGTAAAATATATTAATTAACAGCTTGTCATAATTGAATGCGCACTTTGCAACCTGTTGTGTACGTACCGTACGTTTAATAATCCCTTCCGCTTGAACTTTCGACGTCGATGTGTTACAAGAATACGCAATAACTCATTGATTTTAGTCAGAGACGGTGCTGCCAACCACCATCGCCAATGGATGCATTTCCGCCAACAGGGTACCTGATCCTGACACCGTCGTTGTCGAGATGCAGGACGACGCACGGATAACAGGGATCGCCAAGTAAACACACTTGTTGGTAGGGCTAGGCTATCACTTTGTTCGATCGTACTAGATCACATTGTTGTCACTGATAACATCGCTTAGCTCATCACCGGCTTACTTGCAAATCGATAAGCAAAGTGAAGGTTCGACATCGCGAGGAGACCGTGAGTGCGAGGAAAAAAGTGCGCGTTTTCGTAATTGTTGCATCCGTTTTTTTGCGCTCTTCGTCGTTGGGAACAATCTTAGAAGAAACGACACGTGCTTGCGGTTTTTCTGATGTCCGATCTTCAAAGTGAGCAAACGAAATTATTCTTCAGATCGTTCCCTCTTTCGTTTCAGCCTCGGAGCGTTGCACATGTCGCGGAGCGTGACGGAGGAGACCGTTTGACTAGTGGTTAGCCTCGCAGAATAGTTCAACCACCGTGAAGTCCCATCAACGATGAAATAATCTCGACTCTGCGAGCCACTCGAGCGCATTGAACGATGGAACAACGGCCTGTTCATCGAGGATCAAAAAAGGGTACATAGGTTGCGTCAACGGCGCGTTTAGTTCCTCTGCTTCTCCTCGTTCTGATAATTTCCGAAGTTGGTATGGATCTTCCGCGAAGGAGTTCTATAGTTCGAAAACCAAGAGAAAGAGAGAGAGAGAGAGAGAGAGAACTCTCAAGATCGCCAGAGTGCGACACGAAGAAATCCAAAGTCAATAAATGAAGAACGCGTTATGCACGTGGAATGCAAATACAGCAATAAGAAACGATATACGTACTTTAAAAGCTCCGGGCGAGACTTCCACAAGCTCGAGAGAAGGGTGCTTTTTCATGGAGGACACGCGGTGATCATTTCGCTGCCGCGCGTCGTTAACTACGCTCGACGTTGTCGAAATGTAATTTGAAGAGTCGAGGCACGAGTCGTCCAACGACCCGCAGGAAAAATTACACAGACTGAAATTGAAGGGATGCTAATTCGACCAGGCCGACTCGAACGTTAAATAGACGATAGATGATCGTAGGACGAAGTCTCACAAAGTAGCAAAAAGGAAAAAGAAAACCACCGTGATCACCGATTCGATCGCGCTCCGGTAAGAATCAGTGATCGTTTCTACGATCGATCGCGTAAACAGCGTCGAATGTGGTGCCTTATTTCAATGCGCCAATCACAGGACAGGCGCGATGAAAGTAAAGATTTTCTTAAGTTCGTTTTTCGGGTACACCCTCGTGCGCCGGGGTGCGTCAATGTGTGTGTGTCGGCGCTGATTCCAATTACTGGCGCTTTTTCGATGTATTTAGAAACGTCCTAGGTCCCCCGCACATCGTGGATCGAGCACACGACTGTTTTCAGTGACGCGACGGATACCAGTTTCTACCGATGACAAATTTTTTACGACACGGCCGGGTTGGTAAAAGAACTCGATGTGATAACACTGTTAGATAGCTGCGTGCGTATCTACATATCTAGAAGACACGACGCGAGTACATTCGATTACATCCTCGTACGTATTAATGTAACACTGTATTTAGATTACACACGACCAAAGACCACTCGTACTTCGTATCGCGTATCGCCGTCACTGATCGCAATCCAAGTCGAGGGAGGGAAATTGAGACACGACTCACGCGTCGACAATGCACGTTTCTGCGGGGATCAATGTTAACCACACGCGAAAAATACGGTAAGAAAAGAAGAAGAAGAAGAAGACTTACGAGCGGACGCGGGACTTGAAATAGTTTTTAAAAGTCATATCGAGAAACTATGTATAACTATCGGACCATTATATGGGCAGAAACTGAACTGCGTAGAGAAACTTTTACGTGCCCCGCTTTTGAAAGACACGTGTGTTTGTTGACGAAAGGGCGCTCGTCGAGACGGAAGCCTGGAATCCTGATTCTGTCCCCAACGTGTCAAAATCGACCCGAAGAGACTGCGTTCTCCACGCCCGTTTAATAAGAAATTTTAATAAGACATTTTCATAAGAATATTGAAGAAGAGATTTTCCTTTAGAAATTGTACGGGAAGCGCGTTTTCGAAATTACCGATAATGTTCGTGTTTTCGTCGACGAAAGGGCGAGGGTGAGAGACTCTGTCTCGTCGCGCCTTTTCGACTAATATTCCCTGCCGTAGAGTAATATACCTTCCAGTATAATGTTGTCCACTCAAGTAGCTTAGAACAAGACAAAATCTGTGTTTCGATCGTATGCGAGAGGCCATACGTATCCGATCTACGAAGAGAATGAGAAATAAAAAATAAGCGCGACTCGTCGTCGAGCGGCAACAAGACTGGACACACAATATAATAATATCGTTTTGCTAGACATAACGTAATTGGTAAACGATCCTCCTATTAAAGGTTTCGCTGATTCTAGGCACTAGGTAGGTAGGTCGATACGTGTTACATCGTAGAGACTGTTTAAATGTACAAACTATTCGAGTACATAGCATTATTAGCGTTCGTTGTAACGATTAATGTTCATTCATCAGTATGGGTTCTGACACGTTGTTCAAATTTTCTCTGTTAATTTGTTCGGAAGAATATGTTCGCGAGAAAGACAAGTTTCTGTTGTTAAGAGGGAAACAAAGAGGGAAGCGAATGGAAAAATATTTTACGCTAGCGTAAGAATTATTCAATGCAATTGCTGTTAAGGATACGTTCCAGTAAACGTAAACTTAAGGACTAGATTTCGTAAACGCATGGATGGCATTTATATTTGAAACATCGAAGTGAGACACTTGACGACTAAAGCAATGCAAAAAATAGGAACTAATAGTTGAGAGAACATTTAGTTGATACTTGTAAGAACAGAAGGACAATTACAATTAATTAACGATGGATACTCTTCATTCAATTTTACTTATGTAAACACACACACACACACACACACACATACACACATAAATTATACTTCTTTTTTATTATCATAGATTTTCGATTTTGTTTGGAATACCCTGCCATTCTTTCGAGTGATATATCGGGTGCTCCCGTTTTCACTCGGCACGTTTCACCCCCGAACGTTAAGAAAGTGAGATATTGACTGCACCGGTTGCGGGGGTAAAACGAGCGGAGGAGAGAAGGGATAAACTTATCAAAATAATCCGATGAATACGTGTTAATATACTTATAAGGCTCAACGTGTTGTATAACAAGATGCAAGTTTATACGTGGAAATATCTCGCCTTTTTCATTAAATCCCTGTCACTTCCTAATTCCTTACCGGATGAGGCATTGCAGACCGCCGCAGATGTGTGTGTGTGTGAAGACCGTTGATTAAATTAATTCATAAATTAATACCACAAGTGAGAAGGAGGGTCGGGATGGCCTAGAGAGAAAACTAAAAATATCCTAGAAAATTCATTTATTTCAAGCCCACGTCGCGGAGGGCCCTCAGCTCGGGAATCTTTGTACAGAGAGCGATTTATACAAAATATGAGACATACATTTATATATATATATTTTTTTTTTTCTTTCAGTGCGTATGTATATGCGCCTGGCTGAGATTCCATCCCCCGTTACATCGAGATCGCGCTCGGGGGATAAGGGCGGACATAACAATTAATAAACGAAGACAGAGTTGCTTTTTAGAGACGCGCCGCCACGAAATCTGGTGTGATCAGTTCGCTCGTGGCAGCGCAGGTTTTCCTTCCGCTCCAATGATATCGCCGTGCTCGTCATGTAGCATTAACACGTGACGGAGAGAGAGAGATAGATTCGACTTATAAAATTAGATTACTGTAATATATACATGTATCCACGCGTCTCGATGAACACGGCGCGACCATTGAGCTTCCGTTTACGTAAGGGCAGTCTATCCTTTTGATTATGACAACGTCGCTATTTCTCGTGAATTGTTATTTACAATGCTACTTAATGACTATACGTCGTCGCATCCGGCGGATATTTACAATACGCTCCAAAAAGAAGTATTTCTTCCTTCGGCTCGGCTATTAATCGCAATCGGAATCAGTGGCGCGTCCGTATTGTATATTAACACGGAATTGTCGAAACACGCAACCGCCGCTTTCCCGCACACCACCTTCGCTCATGAGTGAGATAGGGCGACATTGAAGTAAAGAATCGGCGTCCAGAATATCGAAAATCATTAATCGATTAATTTTTTACCTCTTCTCACAAATACTCTTGATCTGTGGAGAGTAACCCGGGAAAAAATTATTGTATATATTATGTATAATTTTGTATAATTATATAAAATCATATGTGAATTTTGCCCATCTATGCGGTTACATATATGATCATCTGTCTATGCGAAAAAAAATGATGTTATGTCATTTCGTTAAATGTCGATATCATGTGCCGTCAGAAGCACAAGTAGCCAAAAGCATTTACTTCGATTGTATTTGCATATAATTTGCAAACAACAAGTATTTTCTCGTTGTTGACATATATGATTATATATAGTCATATATGGGCAAATTTCATATATGATCTCTCTTTTTTTCCAGCGTAAACGATTGAGAAATGGATAGATTATTGAGAAATGAAAACACGAGCGGGACAGGCTCCAAACATAGACAATTTAGATGAAAAAGAAAAAAGATACATACTCCTGCTAAACTATTGAGAAGATAATTGATCATTGAACAACATAAATAAAAAAGAAGGAATAAAGAATGTAACATCGATTCATCAGTCGTACATGTATCGCCCATCTCTGAGAGTGAGACGTATTAATCCCATCATTCGTCGCGGTGAATTGAGACTATCTATAATGTTCATAATTGATGAATTAATTACACAGTGACGATTAATCGCGGGAAGGTAGCGCTTGCGCAGCAGATGAACGATTCGGCCGTCGCTCCTTCCGACGGTCAGTCAAATTGAAACTCCTAAATTAAAATCACTCGTTAACACCATACCCCCGCGCATCACGTTGTTTACGCACAGTCTGACAAAGAGAGAGAGAGAGAGAGAGAGAGAGAGAGCTATATTCGTGACATGAGACGCGCCTGAACGAGTATCAACAGGAATACGCGCGTACACGAGGCGGCGGCCACGAGGTGCCGCCAGCAACTTACCGGTATCGCTCCCCCGGCGAGTCATCACACGTCATTAACACTAGAACTTGTATACACGGCGATCGCGATACGCCGGAATACGCGAATGTCCTCAAATCCTAAGCTCGGCGTCGGTAACGGGTATTCCTCGGTTGGCACTTTGACTGGATCTCTGCGTGGCGGGCGGCACGAGAGGGCTGATGCTGGGACTTCTCGTGGCTAATGGTGAGAGCGACGGCGAGAAACTCGGGCTCAGGGCGGCGGAGGGGAAGGTAGAGGCGTCGTGGCTGATCGGCGACCTCGGTAAGATGCCCCTGGCCAGTGCGGGCGCTGCCAATGACCTTGGCGCGACGGACGTGAGCAACGGCGGAGGCGGTGCTTTATGTACAGACTTGGTCTTGCCGCTGCTGCCGGAGTTTCCGCTCTGCACGCTCGCGGCGTCGTCCTTCAACCTGGCGATCTCGCTGAATACGTGAGCCAACGGCTGGTACTGCGGTCCCCAGTCCAACAGGTAGTCCCAGTTGTACGAGCCGGTGAGCTCCTCCTCGCTGTGTACGATGGAGCTGAGCGAGCCGTTCATCGACGGTCCGCCCGGCACCTCCAGTCCGGAAGTAGGTCGTCCGGCTTCGCCGATCTTTCCGTAGATCAGGGTCGCGATATCCGCCTCGGTGCTGGCTTCGTCCTCGAACAGGTGCAGACTATCCAGGGGCAGAGCTTCGGGCGGTCTTCGGGGTGTGCCAGCCGGTGGATCCACGATGCCCAGTCTCGCTAAATATTCCTGAGTATTGTGAACTGAGAGGTCGCTCGCGGAATCGCCAGTCTGCTGACCCTCGTTGATCATCCTGATCTCCTCGTCCTCTCCGTCGTCTTCGGCGGAACCCCTGCCGGAGGAGCCTGACTGATCGCTTCCGGAGAGCTCGGAGGTGGCCTGCTGCTGCCCGGATTGGCCGGACGTTCCGTACGGCGGTATCTCGTCGTACTTCGGAGGAGCGAACTGGCAGGAGGCGCCCCCACCTGTTCCCCCGGCGCTCGCGGAGCTGCCGTTTCCGCTCGCGCCGACCCCGGCCACGCTCCTGATCGGGATCGTGTCGAACGCGCTCGGGTCCACGTAGCTGTTGGACGCGGTGGCGTTGTTCTCGCCGTTCAGACCCGGCTTCGAGCCGGGTTTCTTGTGACGGCGGTTACGAATGTGAAAGTAGAGGAAGATCGTGCCGAAGGCGAGCACGAGGAGGAGCACGGCGATCAGCAGACCCAGGGCCCAATCGGCCAAGCCTCCGCCGGTGGCCACTGCCATGTTCGATCCGATGTCCAGAGCGGTGGCTCCTCTGGCTCCGTTCGGCTCGTCGTCCTCCATCAGAGTGATCTCCACGGTCGTTATGTTGGACAAGGATCTTTGCCTGCCCGAACTCGCGGTCACCATCAGCTTCGACGAGCCTTCCACGTCCATGTCGACGTGTATCAACTTTTGCTTCACGATCAACGCACCAGTGGTGCGATTCAGTTTGAAGTAAGGATGCTGAGACGCAAGCTGGTAGACGACCCGACCGTCGGGTCCCTTGTCGCGGTCGGTCGCCGTCACGTGACCGATCACCGTGCCGGGCAACACCTGGCCGCTGTTTCTTATCACAAACCGGTAGGTCTTCTCGGTGAACTGCGGGTGGAACTCGTCCCTCGACTCGATCTCCACCCTGACACGAACCGCCGCGGCACGGCCACCCATGTCCGTGGCGCGCAAAGTGAAGGCGTACCGATTCCGTTGCTCGTAATCGAACACGGCGCGGGTGGTGACGCTGCCTGACTTCTCGTCGACCGCGAACAGCTTCCAGCTGTCGTCGATGTCGGAGAAGCCGGTCGCGGCGGCGGAGACGATGGAGTAGTTCAACGAGCCGAAGATACCTCGATCCAGATCTGAGGCACGCGCGGAGAAGACGTTGGTGCCGCTCGGCTCGTTCTCGCCGACGAAGCCGAGGTACTCGGAGACGGGGAACTTGGGCGAGTTGTCGTTCACGTCCTCCAAGTGGACGCGCAGCCTGGCGAGCGCGCAGAGAGGCGACACCGGGTCGCTGTCGCACGCCATCATCACGAGATTGTGGACCTCGGGTTCCAGGTCGCAGTCGAGAGTGGAATTCACCAAAACAGCGCCGGTAGTCTTCTCGACGCGGAAGAGGCCGCCATCGTTGCCCGAGGTGATACCGTACACCAATGTGGCCGCCGGGCTGTCAGCCAGATCGTCGTCCTTGGCGCGCAAGATAGCAACGGTAGTTCCGCGCGGAGCGTCTTCCTTGATCGATACTTCATACAGATCTTCCAGGAAGCGTGGGTAATTGTCGTTCACGTCCTCCACGATAATCATCACCATCACCGGCTCGTCTCCCAGCAGCGAGCCTGTCGTCAGATTTTCATCCTTGTTGCCTAATTGCAACATGTACCTGCAGCATATCAGCGCATATACGACTTTTAGAACCTTTCAGACAATTCGAAAAATGAGAGAGTCAGTAAAATATTTTCAATTAACATACAATGTTATAGTTTTAATTATTATGATTATTTTTTATCACGAAATTATTTTTGTCATTTTGGTTTTCTGAAGGCCAGAATTACAAAGATAATCATAATGATTAAAATTGTAGTAAAATTGCAAAAAAATAATCTCGCAATATTAATCGAAATATAATAATAATAAATTACATTTCGTTACTAAGCTATCTCGCCAATGATAATATACAATAGTAATAATAATAAATCATATAAAATCAAATTTCGATTTAAACTAACGGTGCTTACCTATCCTTCGTTTCACGATCGAGCGCCTTCGAGATAATCAACCTGCCCCTGGATATCTCGAACACTCCGCTATCATCGCCCGCAACGATGGCGCCGTGCTGTAAGTCCACCTCGGAGAGCCTCATCAACGTCGTACCCTTCGGCGAGTTCTCCTTCACTGTGATCTTATGCTCACGCCCAGGAAGGGCGCTCTTGAAACTGCTGAGTCGCACAAGCACCGAGCACATCGACGACGCTGGAGGCTTGCCGTAGTCCTCCGCGACGATCACCAAGTCCAATTCCTTCGGCAGCGGTCTTGGTATCGCTGTGCGATTCGCCGTCAAGACTCCGGTGGCGGGGTGTACCGAAAAACCCTTGATTGGTCGCAGCAGATAATACCGTATCCGGCTGTTCTCCTCCGAAAGATCGTCGTCGGTAGCGTTCACCGTCAGGATTTCCTGCAGGACGTCTCGTCCCTCTGCAGAGGAAGAAAATTAATACGTTACATTCGCACGTTGCATTGTACACCGATACCACTGCACCGGCCCGAGTGAGCAATGAGAAAATATTTGTATCGGCCAACTTATGCACGACTGATAGTTAGATGAGATGGTATTCATTAATGAATGACAGGTAGTCGAGAAGCACTCTCGCAAGATCGATTATCGAGTCGTACATTGCACGAGAGACCGACCACTCGAAAAAGAAAGAGAGAGAGAGAGAGAGAAAACAAGAGGAGCGCGGGAGAGAAGAGGGATCGAGAGATCACGAGCGCGAGTTCAAATACTCTCTCTCCGCGTCTTCTTGTTGCGGACGCGTCCTCGACCACCACCGCCGACCAGCACCGACATTACGAACGCCTTTTTTCGGACGGCGAAGGAGGAGGATAAGCCTTCTTGACATCAGGCCGAACGGAAGTATGAAATAATAACCAGTTATATAAATCGCGCCGCGCGCGGGTACCGTGGGTCCGTGGGCTCGATGGCGCGTTGCGCACACAAAAATCATTTCGATGCGTTTCAAATCGCCGGATAACTCGGCATTAATGTGCCAAGCCGCGGCCTAAAGTGCAGGAGGCAGAGGAGGATATAGGCCGAGATGCGTGTGCGCGAAAGAGAATCCGAAATAAACCTGGAGGACATGGCCCTTCGGGGATCGCCGGAGCGAGGGTATCCTCGGAAGAGAAGAGGAGGACGACCGTGAACAGAGAGAGAGAGAGAGAGAAGGACTGTATAATTATTGCGAAGTGCGTATGACCACGGCCGAAGCGGAGCGTGCATGCTCGCGTCACGACATCTGAACGCCGGGATGAATTCTTATTTCCCTCTTTTATTATCCTTAATCCCGTTGCTCCCCTCCCCTTCCCTCCGGTATCCCATCTCTCGACCGACGTAATATAGTTTCGCTAATCTTCGCGTCATTGTTCATCCGCCGGTTGCCCTCTCCCTCCCTCCCTTCCATTGCTCCTCCGTACCTGTCCTCCTTCGCCGGAGGGATAAATACCTCGAAGAAGAGGAAGATCTGCATTTGCAGGATAATATAGTGCCCTCGTCGAGGGCGATTTTTATATTTAATTAAAATTCGCGAGATTTCATGAAAAAGCCGCGAAGGGGCAACAAAGTCCCTTCGATCTGCCCCGATTGTTATCGCCTTTTAATGAACATCTATAACGATCCCATTACCCCCTCCCCTCCCCAAATGCTTCATTAACTTTCGCCGGGACCTCATCGCGCGCTCGATCGTATCTGCAACCTACCACCTCACCTGTCTACCGCGTGAACGGAACGCCATACAGCTTTTCGCGAACACGCGGCCACGCGGAGCGCGGGACGAGCTGAAAAAGAGAAGAGGATGCAAATTCGCGGTCTCGTCGCCGTGGGAGCTCCCCTTTCCCCACATCCGCCTGCCAATTCACCCCCCTCGTCCCGGCTGCCCTACCTCCCCGCCGCCCACCCAAATGCACCATTAGGCGCGGGCCTATGTATTTTTAATAAGTTTCGAGAGTCCTCGAAGCCGGCGATCTCGGCCGGCGGTTGCAGTGAAGGCGGCTTTTCGGTTGCCTCGCAAACGGTGTCCTCGCGTTTATTTATGTGCGAGGAGTTCGCAATCCTCCTCGGCCCTCCTTCCACCCCATCCTCGCCATTCCTTCTTGTACCTCCTCTCCCTCACCCTCTCCCGCCTGTCTTGCCGATCTCGCACTCTCTTCCTCTACTCTTCTTTTTATCTTTCTTTCTCTTCTTCTTCTTCTTCTTCTCCTTCTTCTTCCCCGCTTCTTCTCTTTTTCTCCGCGTACGCCGTATCTTTTTCTCTCCCGCATTCGAGCAGCTAGCTTTTCATCGGTCTTCCTGCTCCCTATCTTCTTTTTCTGCCCCTCCCTCCCCCTCTCTTTCTCTCTCTTTCTCTCTCCCTTCATCCCCCTCTTCCTCTCGCCCCCCTCACACCCGCGCCGCTCTTTCTCGCGCGCTTTATCTCGGCGCGGTGTCAATTCGAGTTTGGAACACGGGCAACAGGACAACGCGTGTCTACTAAAAACCAGTTTTTAAACGCGCGTTTATTTCGCGCCGAGGGACCCGCCTGTATCCTCCTCCCTCTTTCCTCATTTCTTTATGCCTCTGCTGGTTCGATTTTTTCGACGGAACGCTGACACTGAGGCATCGTCTAACGACAGGGTGACAGAACTCGCGTGAAGCGACCAATAACAAATCTGCGGTGCGACCTCCTCGATAAATTTCGACGAGTGAACCCGCGACCGCCGCGCAATCTTCGATTCAGCGCGCTGGGGAACGTGAACAGCAACGGAATGTCGAATATGGATCATCGATGCTCCGAACAATTATTTATAAAGTGGATACTTTCGCGGCATAATTTGGACGTAGCGTGCGTGCAACGCTCATGATAACTGCAGACGCTTAATAACGGCGTCGTCGTCGCGACGAGCAGCGGGAGGTTCACGGTTGTTCCGAAGGGACGGTGGTGCAACAAAACGATTCGCGAGGAAGAATCTCGAGAACCTCGCTGACGAGCGGACGCAACGTCCGCCGATTTCATCCCACGCTACCGCCGCGGCGCAATCTCGGGAACGATCGTTCCTCAATAAATCAAAGAATTATCACCTGCCCGCTGGAGCGAGCGTTGCGCGATAACCGGCGCGATGATCGCGTCCGATCATCGTCAAAGTTTCCATCGGATTCGGCCTGTTACCTGCCTCTCTCGCCCGTTCCTCGCTGAGGAGCGAGGGCATCGTGCCCTGCCTGTACGTACCTGAAAGGACAGCCACGTAGGCAGCCCGCTCGAATCGCGGCGCGTTGTCGTTGAGATCGGTGACACGCACGGTGAGGTCGGTCGTAGCCTCGTGAATCCCGTCGCTGGCGATCACCTGGAGAGTATACTCGGACCGGGTCTCGGCGTCCAGACGCCTCCTAAGGACGACCTTGCCGCCGTAGCGGTCGATACTGAAAGGCCCGGGACTCGTCAGGTTGCCGAAACGGTACGTCAACACCGGCGAACTGTCGACGTCGTTCGCCGTGATGGTGGTCAGCACGGTTCCCATGGCGGTGCCTGGAATTCGAGAAAGTGTCGACTCAGCGATTCGTGCTGCAACACTTGTGCTGACAGTTCAGGGGTTGAAACACAATGAAATGAGGAATAAGGAAAAAGAAGTGAGATGCAAGGAATTAAGGACGAAGTCGGAAGGATAAGAATCATTAAAAAACACAACAACAGAAACAGAGAATAAGAATAAGAATAAGAGGATAATTTAAAAGTGTTTTTAAAACTTTGATTTTGTAATAAACCTCTGCTGTCATCATTAATATGTTCATCATTTTCTTGATAATCGATTAATTATCAGTTCTTAATCATTATTGCTTGATCCAAACTGGCTTTCACACATATATTGATGATCATTGGGACACTTTAAAAGTTGACTTTCAGTCGACTACTAAGCTCTGCAAGCGCACAAGTATACAAGGAATAGAATTTCGGCAGTCCCCCTAAACTTAGCTTCCTTTGTTGCGAGTTGAAGCGTGGTTGTCCATAATTGAATTGCCGAAATTTAATTCCTTATTCCTGCGTCATTGCGTCGGAGCCCTAACAATTGAACAATGGTCGCTCGATTATTATTCATCACAGATCTAAATGGAGAACATTGTTCGAGCACAACAAAATGCGCCACTAATACATTAGCGTGCGCGGGAGTCTCGTTGCTGATCGGATAAACGCGAGGGCGCGGAATTCGCGAAAAACGCGCTCGTGGCGAGAAAACGCAGAAAACTGTTACGGATCTCATCGGGGCGCAGCTCTCGCAGGACGGCTTTATCGGCCCACATTGCTGATCGCGCGGTCGCTACTGACGAATTGCATTCTCATGCATAAAGGTCTCCCTTTGATTTCGTCCTTTTGTCCTCATCGCGAAGCCACTTTGTCACCGGGGAACGATCACGCGCGATACATACGCAACGCGAGCCTTCGGATCAGGGCGCGCTCTTCCGCGAAGTTAAAGACACTTCCAAGGGGGTCGTGCTTAAAATGCATTGGATCCGTACTATCGAATCGTTTTATCTTGGCCGTGCTAAGAAGCGGTCGAACGAATCCGCCCAAAGGAACGGATGAGCTCTTCTCATTCTCGCGAGCGGACGATGCGGACGGGCGCGGTGTGAGTAAATTACAATATCGCCGTCCGGGCATTACGCGAAGAAGAAATTGAAAACCGTAACGCGGGAACTAATTTGCGGGCACAAAGTGCACGCGCGCGCGACGTGTAGCCTGACTTGTGTCGCATCACGCATTACCATATGCGGCGCGCATTTATCGTCGCTCGGGCGCAATTTGTCCTTAAATATGAATTTACGTCATGCCATAAGTCATCGTGATCGCCGTACGAGCGCGATCCAGTGATCTGTCTATCTTCAACAACTGACTACTCGCCCTTGTCCATTGCGTCGTCTTCACCACGCTGCGGAGATACCAGCAAGAGGAAGGGGGTAAGGTGACTGCCTTAAGGTTGATCGATTTTTCCCATTTTCGTAGTAACGTAAAAATAATGACCAATTCAAAATACATTTCTTATACTATCTACTATCGTTAACTGAAGAGACTGAAGCCAGATCGTTTATTATTATTAAAAGCCTCGAATAAGTTGGGCACCGAATCGTTAACTGTTATTAGCTTGGAAGAATTAACAAATCGTCGTCTCACCCCCTTTCTCCTATTTCGAAGAATAGGAGGAAAGTGTGGTGCTATTGTAAAAATATGAAGATAATTTGCAAGAGGGAGGGTATAAACAAATATCTCCGAGCACATGCCGACGGCTTTCAACGATTCGAAGGGGATTCTCGAGGCAGGCGAAGACTCGGCGAGCGGAAGATGTGGGAATACGTGGTTAGGAAGAGGTATATCATCAGGGACTCGACTTTGATTCCACGACCGAGGCGGGTGATATACGTCGGGCGTAGCAACACCTGCGGCAGTAAAAGAATTATTCCGTACCGGGCGCGATGCATTCGTGGGGGCACGGGGGCTGCTAGCTGGCACGCGGCTGCGACCGCTCGTAAATTTCACGAGAGATCGTTAAAGTCGTGTAAATCGGTTTCCAGAGCGACCCCGTCTATGGGCAAACACGCGCGGCATGACTCTGTTATCGCCTCACGGGTCTTCGCCATTTGAAGACCTGGGAAAACCGGAAGCAGAACTCGTGGGAGATGAAAGACATCGCGGCGTCGGCGAACCTGTCGCGGAGAATAAATTCACGCGATACTTGTAACGTTAAATTACTCGCAGCAACGTCTGCGTCTCCGCTCTTACTTGCACTTCGTTGCACTGAGAAAAAGATTCGTTTGTTACTCTTTCATTGGATCATCCGATCGGACATGATACGTCATTTAATCCGATGGGAGTTTTCCTCAGTGCGTTTTTCGACCGAGACTTGCAAAGGTTCCTTCAGTCACACAGCGACCGATGGAAAATATATTCGATCAGAGGGTCATTGTGCGCTGAAAGAAGAGCGCGACGGCGAACTTGCGTCGCCGCTCGTCGAGCGTCTAATTCGTTACCCACCGCCGATTACGGCGCATTCGCGACGCATCCGCGGATCGGCGACGTGAACCTCCATGTACGGGAAATACCCACGCTCGCGTCGGTGGTCCACCATTGTTTCGATTTCTCGTGTCAGTGCCACTTTCGGAGATTCGATCGCGACGCTGTCGATTAAATCCTCCCACAAACGTATATATACGGCCGTGCGGAAGGGCCCTACGGGAGCGGAGGCAGAGGCCCATCCAACATCGGCAAGCCGCGCCTCCCGACGTTTCGACGATAATTACATCCTTTATTCCTACCGGGGTAATTACAAACGTTTACCGTAGACCGAACGTGGGGCTCTGCGTTAAAAGCCGACCGGGGAGCTCGTACGCGCGCGCGGATTAAACATAATCGATATCGCCATCGCGGAAAGACGCAAAGAAAGGCCGTGACGGTAACGAGAACATAGACCACTTCTGTTAAATCACTCCGCGCCGTTGCTGCGCTATCAATTAGCAATTTATCAGCATAAATCACTATAGAGGAACCAGGCAGGCTGCGATTATCGTAAAGGCGGTCAGGAAGCCCGGCGTTAGAAGATGTTAAAGAGGATGAAGAGCAGGCTCGTTATCCCGTCACGTCTCGCGTTACGGCCGCGTGATTCATATTTCTATCGAATTCGTTTTGAATGCGCGCACCTCGAAGGTGCATTAGCCGCGCTAAACCGTCGCGCTACGTCCGACGAGATATTTCGCCTCACTGATCGCAGGATATCGGAAGTGTTGACGCGCATCCAGAGAACCTCGTAAACGGGGCCCCGTGGGACTTTTTGCTCGCGCCTCTATGGCCATGTCGGAATGACATTTCCCCGGTGCACGCTCGGCCCGAGATACCGTCCGGGAACGAGGAGCTTCTTCTTCTGGGCGGCGACGTTAAATTAATTTCGCCGGGCGGCGCGTCGCGTACGCGAACGCGGCGCTGGTTTCATTTGCACCGAGGCCGAAGAATTTCACGGCGATACAAATTAGGAAGTAATCTCGCATTACGCCATTGGCGAGCGAGTACGTGCTTACGACCTTCGTGTCGAGCGTTCTCGGAAGAACAAGAAGAAGAGAGGTGCAGCGGCAGCAGAAGCAGTGGCAGCACCAGCAACAGCGGTAGCAACGGGGGGAAGGCAAAGAAAGGGACGAAGACAAAAACGCGAGCGCAATAAAGGGACGGAGGAATCTTCTATTATATCTCCTCCCCCCCCC